CTTACGGAAACGAATAGTTTCGAAGATATATTGATTTGAAATGTCGCGTGACGTCACTTCTCAGTACATTTTATACTAAGAAATGACGTTTTTGCCCCCACTCCTAAACTTTGATTCGTTTTATCTAAGTATTGTTTTATTATACAACAAAATAAAAAAATACGTGTCTAATATTTTTTTATTACCTAAGTTACGGACTAATTATATTTTTAATTTTCATACCCTGTCATCATCCCCATTCCGAAATGATTCCACCTTTCCACCTGCTAAAAATAAACAACAGGGTACCATGACAGATCACCTCATTTATCCACTTTCGTGTAAACAAACGAAATTGTGACAGATTCATAATATAAATGTGATAGTATGTTTGTTTGTGTGTCCGTTCATCTTTAACGTCATATCAGAGATTGACGCGGAAGTTAGAAATAGTTACGGACCTTTTTGAAACAGGAAATTGTGTGATTTCCTAAAAAACATATTGACTGTTATTTTATGTCAATAATAATTATATTGACTGCCAGGCAAGGGGTCTCGGGTTCGATTTCCGGGTCGGTCAAAATATTACCTGGGATTTTTTAAATAGTTCTCAGTAGTAGCACGGAGTCTGGAATTGTACCCGGTACATGACAATAGGCTCACCCCCTATGACATGGAATTCATAACATAAATAGTGTTGGTGTTACATTGTACAGTGGCATTAAGTGCCGTAATATGCACCTTTGCCTCCCCCTCGGTGAGGATAGGCGTGATGTTACGTAATAATTAAATTGTCCTTATTAAAACACCGTTTTACTCATGTGAAGTAATGAGAAAAACTGTAGAGCTTTTTAAAAAAACCTTTTTACAATCATATTTTTAGAGTATACTATCGATTTGTACACGTGTACAGTATCAACTAAGTTCCATTTTTGTTTTAATTTCCATTTTATATCATTCTTATTATTTATTTAGAGACTGAGGTGGGGAACTGGTTACAACCAGCTAGTTTAGTTAGGTAGTTAGGTTCGATGGACCGATCTGGATATCATTGAGAGATATGAAATATGCGTTTAGTAAAAGACGTCTTTCTCTTTTATTTTGAGGGGGTAAATCATCCAGTTTCTTCTCTGACCTTGGGTTAGGCGAGAGGGAGTGTCAGACTCTTACGGACTAGTACTAGATGTCTATTGTCTGATATGATGAGGATGATACTATCATAAAAACACTTTTAGTATCTACACAAAAAGTGAAAGTTGCACATTATTAAATACAATAGGTAAATCCTATTTTCCTGCAGACATAGCCACGAGCACAACCTAGTGAAGTAATAAATCACAGATATCGCTTGGTAGATGACTCAGTTGCACAGATAACATATTCCCGCGCGGAGATTGGCGGCCATGACAGTTTAAATAAAAATAATAAATGTCTCATGGACGCGGCCCACAAATGAGGTCCGTGAAAATAAGGATCGATGGCAGTGGGACGTTGGAGGTACGAAATAATAATTACATAAATAAACATCACTTTAATCCACGTAGAGGTAAGCAGGGGCGTACTTTTAAAATATAATACCTACTTTTCACAAGTTATGCTGTGACTCTCATGTAATAGGGCACCTATTGCTATGACATGGGACATAACTCCAGAATCTATGCTTTTGAAAACTTCCAAAAAGTCCCCTTAATTGTTTGATCCAGAAATCGAACCTTTACTCAACGCTTCAGCAGTCACGCATATGATGTACATAAATATGTGGAAAACGAGATGATTATTTATCCTACTAATATTATAAATACGAATGTTTGTATGTTTGTTTGATTGTTGGGTTATTACTCCTTCAGGTCTAAAGTGATCGAGATAAAATTTGGAACCTACCCCAGGTTATAGTCTGGAATAACAAAGTTATTGTTGGAATAACTACATTATATTCCACAGGAAGGCGGGCGAAGCCATCGGCAGAAGCTAGTAAAGAATATATTTTGTAAATAATAACACCTGTTGCTCTAAATAAGCTTAGTATTTAAGCTCAATAGGAGATCAGACATCTATACATATAATAAAATCGTAGGAAAGTGAAAACTGTACATCAAATATTTTTTTAAGACTTGACTGCCAATAAAAAACTGTTGAAGGTAAATCCTCCGCTAACGCCGGTCACCGGTGACCCCCAAGGCGTTTAACGTGTTAAAGAATGCTTCTGGCGTGATCTATCTCTACAGTCGATACCGAAACCAAATAAAATGCTTTTTAGAAATTGTATCTGTTTGTTGATCAGTGTGTGTGTGCGGGATGAACTCAAAAAGCGCTACATGGGTTTACTTCAAATTTTGCATGAATATTACTAACAGGTCGGATCAACATATTATAGGCTACATTTTATAATGCTATCGACTACGGAGGAGGAGCTGTGAATCACTATTTCATGCGGATGAAGTCGCAGGCTCAGCTAGTTATATTATGAAAATCGAGTCATATTTTTACTTTAATCATTCCGCAGAATTATTTACGGTTAAACTAAAAAAATCACGGCTTGCATTAAGTGATTTACGGCTTAATAAATATAAGGCATAAGGTACATTATGCTAATCAAAGCAGAATTGCGAGAAGCCAAAGTTTTTCCGGAAAAGTCAAATGGATTTGTAAATAAGGTTCATGTAATAAGCCTATTACTTTTTTATTTGATTTATAACTTATTTCATTTGACTTGACGAAAGGAGGAAAATTCATTTCGTGTGTAAGGCGTAAAATTTAGAGCTACAAGATAATATTATTACATTTAATACAAAATAATATTATTATATCTAATACATTTTGATTATGTTATATCTTAAACGCGTAGTGATATTTTTTTATATTTTTCCTAAAGATTATATTTATTTCCGGTAGATTTCATGTTACCGGGATAAAAAGTAGCCTAATTATTGTATACTAGCTTATACCCGCGTCTTCGCTCGCGGCACAAAAGGATAAAAAGCCAATGTGACATATACTAATACACACAGCGCCATCTATACTAATACTTTTGTTTTCCCTCGGAAATATCAAATTTTTCCGGGATAAAAGTACCCTATTATTTAATCCGGTCTTTTAACTATACATCTTCAAAAATTCAAAGCAATCGGTTTAGTAGTTATGGCGTGAAAGCGGAACAAAGAAACAAACAAACTCACTTTCCCATTTATAATATTAGTAAGGATTTAACTATATCTCTGTGTTATATATAATAGTGAACTTGTATGTTTGTACACGCACTCACGATCACTAGTGAGGGGTAAAGCATTTAAACAAAAAAAAAAGTACGTAAAGATCTGTTCGACAAATTTTGCACGAAAGAGTAACAAACACAAGTACATACAAAATACATAATTTTCGAGACGTTACAGATTATTCAGTAAAATTTCTTTTTTTATTTTTTTGCTTAAAAGCTTTGCCCCACACTAGAATTTTCTCCTGTGTCGTGAGTGCGTTTACAAACATACAAGTTCACATACACCCAGGCCTGAAACAACAATTTGTAATCCACACAAAGAGTTGATCCGGGCGGGAATCGAATCCGCTACACGTTGCGTGGCAGTTAGTTGCCCAGCCACCGCGCCAACTGTGCAGTCAAATTAATATTAAAAAGTAACAAAATAAAACTTTCTTTACTCCTACTTCGATTAACATTGTGAAAGAATTTTGTAATTCTCATAAAAAGGTATGACTTATAACCAGCGGACTAAAAAATAATCCCGGACGAAACGATGAAGCATAAAGAAGGTTCAGAATTATGTTTTTACGAGTAATACTACGTTATGTTGTACTTGTATACTACCTCTAAGATTTAATATAACACACTATTTTCTTTCTGTTTAGTTAAATCTTAAACTCATCATTTGGGAGAAGATGAAGTATTTTTATAGAAGTAAGGTAAACGACTGCCAATACGCCTTGAGCAAGAATGGTGATTAATGCTCAAACTTTTGCCGTGTGATGTCTTTGGAAAGCAGTGGGCACTTGTGGGCCGTTAATGTAAAAGCAAACAAGCAGACGTGATGGTAAGCGATCAGCTTATACAGGATTTGTTTGCAATTCATACGTTATGATTTTTTTTCAAAATTATCATAATATGAGGTATATTTATATTATATATTTATTTTATGAGACAAACTGGCGATTGCAGGAAAGCAATCGGCGACGCCCATGGACACCTGCAACACCAGAGTGCGTTACTGGCCTTTTGGGGATTAAGAATTTGAGGATCGTTGGAGATTCAGGGATTAGGAAGATAGGGAAAGGGGGGAGGGGTAATTGGGCCTCCGGTAACTTCACCAATACGACGAACCACAACGTAAGCGCTGTTTTACGTCGGTTTTTTGTGAGGATATACTTTTTATAGTACGTCAATATTTAATCTAATTGTATAATAGTCCTATCCTAGTACATAGTTTATAATGAAATACATGTACAATATAAAATCACAGTCTCATACATTTCATTGACAAAGTTAGCAAACTTTTGAGCCTGGCGAGTAGGAGAAGACGTGAAAATACAATTTATTGCTCATTCCTTCAAATACAATTTATCGAAAGATTTGAGAATTTGCTACGAAGATTAAATTTTGTCAGGCATGTCTAATCAAACATTTTATTTATCAGAGTAATACAATTTCAGATGCAATAAACGAAATTGTAAAATAAAAATCTTTAGACATTCAATTAAAAGAGAACGATACCTGAAAATTGAAAACATTAAATTATCTGAATAAAACTTTACTCGAAGAACATTTTGTGAACTGAAAACTGTACAATTTCAAGTTCATAACTAAGTACGAACGTTCTTAACGTAAAGTTGTGTAAGTTAAAACTTAGTTCAATGTTATAAATCTCGATGCCTCAAGGATCACACCCTAAGGCTTAGGCGTAATGTCTCATCGATCACGAGTGGAATTCCGTCGAAGCCTTCGTAGGCCGGCAGTGCTACGAAAAAATCCCACAGTCGCGCCGCGCCCGTAGACAGCTACGCTCGTAGCTCCGTAGCCCCGCTACGAACGCGCGCTACGAACTACATAAACAAGTGTATGTGAATGTGGAAGTGACTTTTGTGACTTTGTTACAACTTACATGTAAGTTTTAGTTAAGTTACACTTAAGTTAACACCTTAATTTGTTGTTTCAAGTTTATATTTATGATGTGTTATTATAAATCGGATTTTATTATTGGATGCCAAAATTTTTAATATTTCGTACAGTTTTGTCTGTACATTTTAAATTTAGAAATAGGAAAGTATCAGCGTTAACATTTGCAATTAAATTATCAGTTAATTGATTTTGATATCAAATAATTTAATTGCAAACGAAAAATGTATTGTTCTAATTTTGTTATTTAGTTTAATACTTTGGTTAAAAGTACATAATTACTTACTGAAAAATATATTACCCTACAACCGTATATTTAAATCCTAGTAACCTTTAAAATAATTTCCGTCAAATGAATTAAAATAAACTTTTCAAATTAAAACGTGGAGAATGTTTTACAAGATAGGTACATAGTTATGTATAGTAGAATAGTACTCATTAAACTGTCAAACACCAAGCGGTCACCGGTGACCGCAACCTATTGTTCTATAATTGTGTCTATAATGACGGTACTAGACGAGTTAAAACTATAAATAAAATACATTTTCTATCTCTTCACATCAAAGTAAACAATTATTTATATACCTTCTATTATATAAAGAACACGAAGAAGACTGAACTTTCCTCTCGATTTTTTCCATCTTCAAAGGTAATGGTGTCATCGAATGGAGTTTCAGGAGGCTGGAAGTGGGTCAATGATCTCGCGTTAGACTTTCAGTGCGTAACGTTACTTTACAGACGTGATAAAACTTCTAACAGGTTCTATATTTAATTGAGACCTCGTAACACCCACTTGTAAGCGGTTGAGTGGTGTTTTCAATAATGATTTACTTTTTTTGGATATTTCGTTTGAACTTGAAGAAAATGTTAATAGGGATGTCTGTTGACAATGTGATTGATCTGAATGATACATTTGAAAAGTATTTTAATTTACTGCTGGAAATATGAAACGTTATTTATAGTTAAAACGGATAGAAAATGAATGAGACCTACACCCTAAAGGTATAAAAAAGCTAAAGAAGATAGTTAAGAACTAAACAATAAAGAGTAATAGAAGTCGACATATTAAACAAAGACCGGGCTGATTGCGCACAGCTGCCTACCCCTTCGGAGATAAAAGGCATGATGTTGTGTTATGTGAATTTTCATAGGTTGCCGCTGACGATTAACTCGTCGAGTACCGTCATTATAGACACAATTATAGAACAATAGGTTGCGGTCACCGGTGACCGCTTGGTGTTTGACAGTTTAAATAGAAATAAAATTAATTATTGTAGAACAATAAAACCGTATCGTTAGTTCTCTTGTCCAGCTTTTGCACGTTGAAATTTTTTTCTGCACCTTTTTTGTATTTTTGGAAGAATTTAATATAATACAAAATTGATACGTCTAAGTTTTGTAATAGTGTGCATTAACCTTTTGAATTTATAAGCATGGAAGCCGTATGTGTTAATCGAATTTGATTTTTTTATTCGAAAACATCACTGAGTATAGTAATCGAATTTAGGGTTATTAAATTGAAAGATGTGGTTTTTAAAAGTGGAAGAAAGACATTATGGTTTTGACTCATTATTATGTAGAGGTAATTTTAATAAATGAGGTAATTCTAAATTATATTATAGGTGTTATTCTTTTAACTCGTCGAGTACCGGTTTTGTAGACACAATTATAGAACAATAGGTTGCGGTCACCGGTGACCGCATGGTGTTTGACAGTTTAAAGTCAGTTTTCTATGACTTACAGTACTAAAGTATCATAATCATACCAGCCTTATGACGTCCATTGATGAACGTGATCGTCAATCTTGTATCACATATGATAAAAGTATTTGAACGTCGGCCCATCAAATATTAAAAAAAACAAAATCTGACAAAAAACACTATAGTTAACTGTACATGAACATTGTATCTCAATGTCTATCAATTCTACGAAGAAAATGTTTTATTTCATATCTTTATAATATATATATGATATATAGATGACAACGTCTGTTGGGTCCGCTAGTACTTTTATAAAATTTTACATAAAAACTGTTAAATAAAGGATTGTAATATTGTTGGTTTGTTTTTTGCATGGGCAAACAAGTTTTTGTGGCAAAAAATATGCGCGGTTCACTAACATTGTTAAAAGTCTAATTGTACCTATATTAATGGAAAATGCTTTGTCAAATGCATTTACGCACTATGATTTTGTTTGTGAGTGTAAGTGTGTAAGTGAATATATGTTCACTTATTTGTTAAGTTACTTAATTAGAAAATACTTTTGGACTTTTATAGTTTTGTTGCATCGAGCGGAATAAGTCATGCTTTTATATTTGATTTCTGTTTTGGTTTTACTTTCCAAAGTCAGCCGTAAAACTTATTCTTTTTTTCTTACTTGAATATAATTTTGTATACAGATTCCCCATCTTCTCCTAAGTCGTCCTTTTCCTTCCAATCGAAGAAGCAACGTAACGATGTTACTTCAACACTGTTCTGAGAGGCTGAAAAGTTCAGAACTTAGTTTACTTATACAATAAGTCTCAATAAGTCTATCTATAGGCTATTAAATATAGAATTGTGATATAAACTCCATACAAAATATGTCTAAAGGCTATCTTTAGTACTGACATGTACTGAGATGGTTTTTCATAGGATAAGCCGAGAGCACGGATCACCTGATGGCAAGCAATCGGCAACGCCTGGATACCCGAAACACCAGAGGCGTTACAAATGCGATACCGGATTAGGAAAATGAAATGAAAATGAAATGCGATTAGGAATTGAGGAATGTTGAGGATTCAGGGATGGAGGAGATTAGGGTATGGACCGGCAATAATTGGGCCTCCGGTAACCTCACTGATATTTGTTTGTTGTTTCACATTAGTTTTCTGTGAGGTCATGGTATCACTCCGGTCGAGCCGACCCATTCGTGCCGAAGCATGGCTCTCCCACATTTAACATGGCTCTCCCACACAGATTATTGAGACTGTGTGATAAGTGTTTCTCTGCAAATACCTTCAGGGAATATCAGACGATATTTATCACAATTTGTCCTATTAAAGTTTAGCTTCTACCCATTAACCAGCAAAGCTAGCACTAAGTACTAGATTCCCGTCCCGCAGCTAATTGTAACTGCAGATGCACTTAATTGCCAATTACTAGCGGCCATCCTGTCTTTGAGAAAACCTAATTTACTCTACGAACTATTTTCTTTAAAGTTTAATCTTCGGGATTAGCTTCGGGGCTGTTGTAAGCACTGCTAAATAAGGGTCTGGGCTTAATACCAAAATCAGGAAACATTTTCGTTCTTATCGGAGTTTTGGGTTTGAAAATCCTTATAATCATTTTTTAATAAAACGTTGCCCCATACTAAGATTTTCTCCTGTGTCATGAGTGCGTTTACAAACATACGATTTTTTAATGGAAAAGGAGGCAAACGAGCAGCCGGATCACCTGATGGTAAGCGATCAGCGCCGCCCATCGACACCCGCAACACCAGAGGAGTTACAGGTCTGTTGTCAGCCTTCATTTTACATACACACATGACGTCCAGATCAGAAACAACAATTTGTGGGTCACATTAACAGGTGCTCCGTGCGGGAATCGAACCCGTTACACGTTGTGCGCCAGCCGCTTGCCCAGCTACCACACTAACCGTACAGTCAATTTCGTTGATGAGTCTTTTTGGGCTCGAATATCAAAATTCGAATAATTTTGTTCATAGTTTGTGCCCAAATTACACGGAACCTAAAACGAGTTTAAATATGGTAACACGCTGGCGTATAATATTACATAGCCATAATTATCAACTGATAATTAACAAATTATAAAAAACATAGCCTCACTATCGATTCCGTACATTAAACCTACCCCAATATGAAAAAAACCAGACGAGACGATGTCTGACTTTTAAAAGCATTGGAAGTCTTTCTCACAAGAATAGAAGTTAAAAACTTAAGTCAAGGTTCAAGTTATAAATAAAATTAGCCTACGTGACGTGGCCTGCCTCGTTAGCTGGCTAGAGTTTATTATTTCAGGAGATAGTGTTCGTTTGTACCTAAGTAGGGATGAGCTGTTTTATTATATTGCAACTTTGGTATTTAATCTTTGCTGGCAATGTTGCCAGCCTTCTAGGTATGTACTTTCCTTATAGACGTCGATGCGGACGAATTTTTCGATGCTCTGTGTAAATAGTTATTTTTAGTTTTCTTTTATTTAATTGTTATCTTTTTGTATCTTAAGTTGTATATATTTAGTAATTAATTGAATGCATCAATAAAAACAAACAGATTTTTGTTGGTGGCTGTTATAGTAAGATTTTTCCTTTATTTGCTTTCAAGGTCATAGGCATTTCTGATAGCATGCCAGTGAGGTTAATTTTCTTCTCTTATGACTTAGGTTATACCTATTACTAGATGACTTTATTGGGGGATTAAAAGAGAATGAGTAAAAAGAGTGAGAAACTGAAACATGTTTCTCCATTCGAGAACTAAACTGCTAAGGCTCGATTCAGCATTAGAGCAAGGTCGGCTTCTCAACTAAGTACATACAGCAGTAATACATATTTCTTCCAGAAAGGGATTTTCGTGAAGAGTACTCGTGGGATCTGGAATTGAATTTTACGATCGCAATTACAAAGAGAGTGTTATTAAAATTTATTGAATCTTTATTTCACGCTGGGGCACCACTAGTGCTTGAAGAGTGTATGAACTGTGTTATGGTAATATTTTATGTAGGGGTAAATTTGTACGCTTATGGTTTAGGGTTGAAAAGTTTTATTCGATTTGTTAGAGCAAGGAGATTGGAATGACCTCCACTGTACGGCAATAATTTTACAGAGAGAAGAACAATTTTAAAAGATGATGGAGGTAGTCTAACCTAGCGGTGGGTGATCTCTAGAAATGATAACTATGACTGAATTTTAGGTACCACAACTATAACTGGTTATTTCATTTTAAAATGACGCTGGTAATTATGGCAAAAACCTTGACAGTTATTACTTTTTTC